ACGATCTCCTCCACCTCTTGCTTGGCTTCATCCATCTAGAGCAGAATTAGCCATTGTGATAATAAATTGCGAAAAACGTTCACCAAACACTTACTCCTCTAACATCCTCAAATGTCACTTGTATATCCTCTGGTTTAACTTCTTGGGTATTCGAGAAGAACAGGGAGCCCAGCTGGCGGTCGCCTATTCGAATACGAATTGCTAGAGTAAGTTTAGGCTATATTCAAAAACAAAGTTATGGTCAATTTGAGAAAAAATGACCGCTTATGAACTTGCGCAATCAGGATAAAAATGTGGTGAAAGTGTATGCTGCTGATAAAAACCAACCGCCCATCAAGTATCCTATCAGAATGCAAGCTACAAGAAAGATATAAAATCGAGTGAGTGTATTCGATTTCTTCGGGGTAGGATGGGGTGTAGTTTTTGAGGCGAGTAAACCTTTCACGAATCCATCCTAAAAAAATCGAGTGACATACAGAGGCGACAACGTAAACTAAACAAATAACGAGAAAAAAATGCAAAATGATAGGAGCTAAAATCTTACAGTATATGTCTTCTGGTGCGTTTCCGGCAATTTTTTCAGCTCTGTATCGTAATGATTCCATCCTTCAGCCACATCTTCCTTTTTCTTTACAGGATTAAACATGTCGGCGAACATATTCCATCTGCAAAAAGATTTAGTAGTGCTAAAACAAACAATAGAATGTGGGCTTCCTCTTAACCAACTCACTTGGTCTTATCAGCACCTTTCGAACTCCCCGGATGCCCTCCTATTCCACCGGTACCTGTTCGCTTAGTTCGAAAACCACGTTCTTGTATAGCTAGGAAAATTTACAGTAAAAAAAAGCAAGCTTCATCAGAAAAAAATCTAACGAAAAAAACTCACTCACTGCTCCAGTACTGGGAGTGATACATACTGATACTTGCCCATTAATAGTAAACTGGAATCGATTGCGACGAATTGCTCGACGACTAATAAACGGCAATGGGGTTCCATCTAAAAAAACTAGACTGTATCCCCAAAGGCTCAAAAGATGTTCGTTTACCTTCCAAAGCTTTCTTCAAATGTTCTTTTCCAATATTTCGAATTACTGCTGCGTACGAGCTATTTGGACGAAATAAATCAGTTGTGGTTCTTCTAATGACTAAAAAGTGGGCGCTTGACCAAAAAAAAAGAAAAAAAAGAAAAAATTTTTCACTCACTACTACGGCGAGGGGCTGGTCCAAACTGAAGCGAATAAATGCAGCTATTCCATGCTCCCAACCCATT